GGTGTCCGCTTAATACAGGTTTCACTGTACCTGTTTTAAATGAAGTTCTCAAATACAATTAAAACAGTTTTAAAAATATATCAAAAATATGTTTAAAATAGTGTTTGGTTTGTTACCGGCTGCTTTTTTTTCCATTTTTTTTAGTGAACGACCTTTTAAAAGTCGGCAAAATCCTAAAGGTTGACTCTTTTTAGGCAGTAAAAGACCTTCAAAGGATTGAAAACGGCGTTTATCCATTTACTGTAACTCAGTTTTGTGGTCGATGGATTGTTAGCCTGTTCCAGGTGTTCGGATAGTAGAGCGCGGTGGTAAGTGGGGAGCGAGTTAAGTTGTACACCGGGAAATCGGGGGAGGGGGGAGGACAGGGGGAAGGGGTTGCGAGAGCGAGAGAACGCCTGTAAACATTGTTAACAAAGGGTCGTTCCGGTATACTGGATTCCAGTATAGCCTCTTATTGGTCGATTACGACGCCTCCTGTTAACACTCGAGCACTGGTGACTTTGATGAGGAATACAATATGGAGGGAGAGAGACATCTGTTGTCGAATCACGCGGACATCGAAGCTACTATAAACAATGCAATCGAGCATTTCCTTTAAAAATTTGCTTGAATCTCGTTCGCCGAGGCCGGACGTTTTCGCGATTCTTCCAACGGGCTCTTGGAGACCTTCATTTTTTCTACTCTTTCCACGAATAATAAGCGTTATCAAAGGAAAAGTTGGCGAGTCAGTTTTCCACAGTCACCATCGTTGCGCCTCTCGTAGCCATAATGAAACCAAGCTCAAGCGATTTGGAATAACAGCAACAACAGCCACAGGCATGATCGAAGACACGGGATTGTGAAAGGAAGGTGAGCGTGTGAGATCATTCATGGAAGCCCAGAAAGGCAAAAAAATCTTATTTGAAAGGGTATATAATGCTTTAACAGAGGTCAAAGAAAATCAGTACTTAACTGCATCTGGAATCAAATTCTTTAAGAAACAAACCGCAGGAAATAATTGCCCAGGATGCATGACTGACCGTCTAAATGTTAGACTCAGATCGACAGAAATTATATTTGCTTGGTTAAAAGAAGGAAAACCACCGATTCCGTTTTTTGAAAGCTAACTTAAAGGTCACGTTTCACGAGCTTATGGGTTGCGTCTAGCCTGTCAGCACTTTGTAGTTCATGTCACTGTTACCTGGTCGGAGGTCAATTAAGGGCGGAAAGAGCTCTGTAAGGGAAAGTTTACAGGCGTTCTCTCCCCCATTCCCCCTCTAGTCTCCCGTCGTTTTTTATTTCTTCCTGAATTTTTTCTCCCGCGCACTGCTATCTGAACGCCTGGAACAGGCTAATGGATTGTTTACATCCTCCGTTTATTCGCGTAGGAGAGGCCGTTTCGTGAACTCAGCGTTTCCAAACAAGAAAAATTGGGCCCAAAAATCAAAGTTTATTTATGACAAACAAATTTGAAAGCAAATGTTTGGAGAAATTCTTCGATTCAAGTAAATAGGACGAAAAATGCTACATGACGACGAAGTCTTACCTCGAGGAACCGAACCGCCATTTTCGTCAGCACTTCATGCGAAGGACGACACAACAAACATTTTAGGCTATAAACTTGGCGAGTCAACAGAAAACAACGAAGCTCTTCTTTTCTTCGCAGGTAAGGAAACAATTCAAACTTTAAACGGTTCCATTAAAGACATTTCGTCGTTGTTTGCGAAGTGATATGCTTGTGAATTGCCATGTTTGAAAATTCTACAAAGATCTATTTTTAAACTTTAGCGTGATTTGATCTAACAATCAAATCGTACTTTTTAATGGTTTCCTCTCTGACTTTGTTGAGTTCACTTCGAGTATATCACTAAAACAATTATTCTTTTCAGTCTCGGTGAATAATAATAATGATTTAACAATTTCTATAGCGCGTATTTACATGTGCTGATCAATAGTGCTTTGCGATCATGTTTAAGAGAAAACGAAACACATTACCGTGAGAATAAAATAACCTAAGTTACAAACTATGGAAATACTTCTTAAAAAGGTAGGTTTTAAGTCGAGATTTAAAACTGTTCAGTGATGTTGCTTGACGAAGCTCCACAGGTAGGCCATTCCAGAGTTTCGGAGCTGCTGCTGAGAATGATCTTGCTCCCAATGTTGTAAGCATCCTTAACTTGGGATGATCCAATAAGAGCTTACCATTAGACCTAAGATTATATAATGAATTCCATTTTATACTAACAAGATCGCTAAGATAAGTTAGTGCTAGGCCACAAATACATTTGAAAGTCAAAAGTAAAATCTTACAGTCAATACGCAAAGAAACCGGCAGCCAGTGCAGCTCATAAAGCGCCGGTGTCATGTGAGAAAAATTTCCGATGCCAAGAATAAGTCTTGCTGCTGCATTTTGTACACGCTGTAATTTAGCGATCTGCGCCTTTGGTAAGCCAAACAATAAACCATTACAATAGTCAAGACGGCTGGTTATAAAAGCATGAACCAAAGTAGTTAAAGAATCTCTCGACAGATGTTTCTTAATACGTCTCAAGTTATGTAAATGATAAAATGCCGCATTACAAGCCTTGTTTATATGATCAGTCATGCTTAAGTTGCTGTCAAACCACGATCCAAGGTTTTTAACACATGGGCTTGGACTGATACGATTATTACCCACAGTAATGGAACACAAATCTAGTTTATCAAGCTGTTGTCGTGTGCCGACCAACAAAAACTCCGTTTTATCACCATTGATCATCAACCGATCTTGAATCATCCATTTCCTCACGGCGTCAATGCACTTTTCCATAGCTTGTATAGCATCGGCTTGGACAGTGTTGCCGAGTGGTTTAAAACTCAGATACAGCTGCGTATCATCTGCGAAACAGTGAGCATCGGGAAGATAATGTTTCACGATCTTAAACAGCTTGGACGCATATATTATGAATAGCAAAGGCCCTAAACATGATCCATGGGGTACCCCGCAGTTCAAGTCAAAAGGACGAGAAATAACTCCATGTACAGAAACGCCCTGACGATCTAAACCAATTCAGAGCAGTCCCACGTATGCCAACCTCGTCAGATAGCCTCTCTAAAAGTATTTGATGATCAACAGTGTCAAAGGCAGCACTGACCAATAAAATTAACACAGTGACATGTTGAGAGTTTATCTTTAACAAAATATCGTTCATCACCTTGATAAGTTCAGTTTCAGTGCTATGGAATCGCCTGTAAGGAGACTGAGCGCAGGAAAGATAGCATTTGAAACCGTGTGATCGTAAACTTCACTAAAAACGACTTTTTCAGTCAACTTGGATACGTATTGTAAGTTACTAACTGGTTTGTAATTTTTGTACGGCAAATCCAATCCAGGTTTCTTCAAGGTAGGATTAATAAGCCCACATTTCCAATCATCCGCAAATTCTCCAGAATTAAGAGACAGGTTGATCAATTTAGTAATGACTGGTAATAGCACATCAGCACAGCTGATCACCATAGGTGTTGACATGGGATCAAACATACAGCTCTTCTTCGGAGAGCAGCCAATAAACTTACTAACTGCACTTTCAGTTAAAGGGATAAAGCTGTCTAGTGTTCTAGTTGGTAAAGTTTTCACATAGTCAAAATGGGAATCATGCAAACAATCAGCTAGTCTGTCCAGTTTGATATGGATGGCATCAATCTTTTCAACAAAGAAGCTACCTATTTCATTGGCTAAAACCAGCTTGTCCCTAGTTGGTGGAAAAGGTAATTCATGACCTTGATTTTGCAACCTCTCTGTTGCCGAGAATAGGTTCCTTTGATTGGAGTTATTTTCAACAATAAAGTCTGAGTAAAACTTACGACGGGCTTCATTCATCAGGTAGGTTGTAAAGTTCTTCTTTTAAATTCAAGCAAATCACGGAAACTTCGATATCGACGACATTTTCTTTCAGCTCTCCGTCTTTCCCTCCTTGTCTCCCTAATATCTTCATTAAACCAAGGTACCAAAGGCCTTACTGTGATAAACGTAGTGTTAAGTGGAGTATGACGATCAAGAACCGCAGATAATGTAGATTATAACATTTAACAAGATCATTCATAGCATCAGGGCTGTCTGTACAAAGCGAAGTTGTAGAGAGTTCGTCACATACAAGGTTAACGTCAGCCACCTTAGTCTTCCTGAAAGAGATTTTTTTCTTCGGGAGCGGTGGCTTGTCCAGGGTTAGATCACAGATCAAAGTAAAGTGATCAGAAAACAGACAGTCAGTCACAGGGATGTTAGCCAATAGGTAATCGCATTGTCGAGTAATGATCAAAGCCAGGGTGTTTCCAGACTCGTGCGTTGGCTCGTTTACATGTTGTTGAAGGCCCATTGGCTCAAGCAGCTCCTTAAGACAAACACTGTCTGCGTTCCCCGGAACGTCTACATGGATATTGAAATAGTGGCTTTAGCCACTATTCACCTCGATTTCAAAGAAGAATTGTTAACTGTACATACACACATTTAGGTGGGCAAGCGTTCACTTCTTTAAACCTATTGTGGCGGGCCTTAGCGCTAGAGCGTATGATATGGCGCCCTCTTCTTTTTTTATACGGTCTCAATCGCCTAGGAACATAATATACGCGGAAAATTTGAAAAATCGCTGTCCTTTAATACTAGTAACGAAATAAATTTGTAACGATTTAATTACCAAAGTAGTGTCTTAGTTAGGATGGAGAAAACTATGCCCATGCTTCCATCTCTATCGACTATTTTTCCCTCGTTCGACGTTGTTGCAGTTCGGCTGTTTTATTTTCTGACGCTTGAGTGTCAGTTTTTTGTTATTTTTCTCCAACCTAAAATACACAGAGCTGATCAATTTTAAAAAGTCGTTTTGGAACTTCATCATCATCGTTATTTTGGCCAATTCGTTAATCTTTATTTTTCAATGATCTTACCTTTATATTGTTTTGTTTTTAATTTCTTATTAGTTACATATATTCTTTCCTTGTTTTTTAGACAAAGGCATTCGTCTGAAAACGTGACATTTACGGCTGACATGGTTCACATTCTTCCTGGTTATCCCAAACGATCAGACGATTCTCCCGATGTAGTTCTACTGGCTTTCTACCTAAGTCTTCCACGAGGAACTTCGGAAAGCAGTGTCGTCTCTGAGAGTATATTACATGATATCGTGATGGGCCATAAAGAGAACATTCAAACATCTTTAGGAGGTGAAATCTCAAGTGACGATCCTTTTCCATCTGCCACAGAGGTACTAAAAAACGAGGAAAGCGACGAGGGAAACAGCGGAAAGTCAAAACCAACCAAAGTTATTATCGGCGCTTCGGTGGGAGGTGGATTGCTGTTAATCATTATTGCCGCCGTTCTGATTGGATGCAAAAAGAGTGACAGGTATTTCCAGTTAGAGGAAAAAAATAGCTTTTGTGCGTGTTCTTCGTTTTTCTACTAACACGCGCCAAGGCTGATTATATATGTTTGTCGTCTTCTTTTAGGGAATTAGGTGGTCTTGAAATAATACTTTTAATTAGTACAATCCAACTAGTGGTCTATCATGAATGCTGCGTTCTGATTGGTTAAGCTACTACTAGGCTATATGTTATAGCCCACTAGTAGCGAAAAGCGCCGGCTTTTTGGCGGCAAAAAAAGGATTGAAGTCTAGCTTTAAGTAGCTGAGTCTTTTTTTTTTATTATTATTATTCTCGATATTTTTGACCAACTAGTTGGATTTTACCAAAACAATTATTCCTCTCGCCCTCATGGCCTCTAAGTCAATAGCCCATTCGGCCTTCGGCCTCAGGGGCTATTGACTCAGAGCCAATTCGGGCTCGAGGAATAATTGTTGATTATGCGTTGTTTATTACATTACAATTCTCCCAGGTTTAGTAAGTGTGTGGCCAACCGAGAGGACTTAGAGGAAACGCCGCTCACATTAATACTGGAAATGGAGGATATAAGTGAGGATGTCAGTTCGTCTCCAGCTAAGATTCAGCATGGGACAAATAGAGCTGTTAACCCGATCCATGATAAACCAGTATCCCGTCTTTATCATTCATTGCCTGGGGAACCGTCTGGCGTAGCGCTAGCGAAAAAGGCCGGAAGTGAGATGAACCCAAGTAAATCAGGACTAATTTAACGGTAAGCAACTTGAAAGTATAACCAGAGGACGAGAAACAAAATGCTGCTGGCAACTCATCAGCCGACATTAGTAATGAGGAACAGGAGGCCCAACCAACAACTACTTGCACGAGGTACCCAACCCAGAGGAGAATACATCTTGTTCAACTTTTGCAGTACAGTTTGTTTAGCTAAAAAATTAATAAATAACTAAAAAAATATTAATAAATAACAAAAACGTACCTGGCTTTTTTTCCCAGCATAGTTTTTTTCAATAGCTTATAGAAAAACCATCCAAAATTTGTTTCCGTAGAACAAGTTGGTGTCTTTTCTAGTTCGAAAAAGTTGAAAAAGTATATCAAAGCTTTAATTCCTCTCAGTCTTCAGCAAAAGTAATTCACCTAGTATCTGGCTATTAGATCCTGTAATAATAATTTTTGTATTGTAGTGTAAGAAGCCCTTTTTGTGGGCCTTTTTCTTTTTTAATCTGCGCCCAGACTGCTGGCATGCATTTGTTGGTAATAAATTACTTCATTTCAAATGTTGTTCTCAAACTCATTAATCATTCATGAGCGCAACAGCCAATAAATGAGGCATATTTGGGTCACATGCATGAACCTTGATACCCAATGAACGTTCAGATGAAAATCTTATGGGTTTTGATCTCAGATCAAACACTTACATTTTAATAAGCATTTTTCAATAATAAATACATCGTTAACGACCATACCAAAAATGACCTGGATATTATTTGATATAACTAACCTTGATAGCGTCGGATACCACAAACTATTCCATAAATCGTCTTCGGTGGATATCTCTCTCCCCCAACTTCTTGGCCACCTCCATCACAAACTTGCTAAGCCAGCAACTCAAGGTCACCGCATCAATTTCTTCAATGCTAGTCAAAAGCTGTGTGAGCTTGTGTAAATCATACTCTGGATCTAAACCGGAAGCTACAACCGACCGAAAAATTTGCCATTAATCGCCAAAAATAGCTACCGCCCATTTGTTCTTACATTTGTTTGACGAGGGAATAACTTTTTCGACTCACTCGCGTTGTTCGTAAACCGTTTTCGGCTTCCTAAATCTTGCCTCTCCATCTTCACTCATGGTCAGACACCAACTAGTACACCAAAACAGTAAATCATGCATGTTGAAGAATTGTTACGTAATATGGCAAGATTGCGTCGCTGCATAAATTATTGTTCTTTCATTTGGGGAGGACAATAGCAAAAAATGTATCACTGCATATTTTTTATTGTTTCGTTTGAGAAGTCATCTCAAAAACTCGTGCTTCGGGTTTCATCAGGAGTTCCAAACACCTGGAAACAATAAAAGCACTCAGCGTACGGCCTCGTGCTTTCATCTGTTTCCTGGTGTTTGGAACCCCTGATGAAACCCTCGCACTCGTTTTTGATAAATGTGTATTACTCAAACAAGACGCTATGACTCAGGACATTTATTTGTTTTAACATTTTTTGTTAAAAATATATATTTAATGCTATCTTAAATTCTGACCACTTAGAAAATCTTGCGTAGCAAGATCGAATATTGAAAACAAACAAACAAACAACAAGAGGGGAGAAATCCAAGTGTTAAGTTTGATTAACTTGTCTCGTTAAGAGCCTTTCTAGGTGCAAGGATGTGCTGCGCAGCTGTTTTTACGTGTACGTTCAGGTAGAAGTACAGTCTCGAGTGTCCATTCTCAGATACTTATCATTTATTTTGTTTTCGTTTTGAAAAATTATCAAATCTTACTGTTGTGCTATAGGTAAAATCAAACCCCGTTTAAAGGACACCCGCTTAACAATATTCAGACCGTTTTTGTGTTTTTTTTTTTGCTTCCTGTGACCGGGGAAAAGCCAGATTGCTTTGCATGGCAAATGTAACCAAACTCTTTGTATTAAACATGTTTGCTCACGAAGCAAATGTTAGCAAACCTAAACTTTGAACAAATTTTCTAGGGTGTGCAAATTTGATCAAACACAAAATTTTGCTTGTAGCGGCAAATGTGGTCAAAAGTCAAGTTTTGAACAAAGTTGCTTGGGCAGCAAATCTGATCAAACTGTTAGTATTGTACAATTTTTCGCTCAGGTAGAAAATGTAATCAAATTCTGACTTTAATTTGGTTAGCAAATGTCATCAAACCCATAAAACTGAGCATGTTTTCTCCAGTAGCAAATGTAAATTCCAAGGTTTAAACAGGTTTGCTTTTAAGTTTGTAAAATGCGATAAAATTTTAATAAATTATAATATGGCACTTCAGGTTCTTAACAAGTGGCCATGATTAATCAAACATTAAAGTTACTGAAAAGAAATTCTAGCAGTGACCTCCCATTAATGTTCAAATGATTTATTCCATAAACCAAAGTGGCTTACACATTATTACAGACATTACAACTACAGTATAAAGCTGTACCTTTAGCTCTTCATATTAATTCCCAATTTTACTGTTCCTTGACAAGCTACTTGTCTCACTCTATGCTCTATCAGATCATTACTAACTAATAATATTATAAGAAAAGTGTTCTTCATCTAAATGTGTAAGATATTCTATATACAGCTGCGGAGGTGTTTCAGAGTTGCCTCAAACCTATTTCAGTTCTTTGGTTTTGCAACTCAGAAACAGGTTAAAAATCCTTTCACTCTTGGACCAATATTTACTTATGACAAGACTATTTCTTACTTAGCTTTTGTATCTAGGACAAAATCCTGTTCCAACTAAATGGAACCCTCAAGACACCCATTTTAATAAATAATTAGTATTTTTGTATTTATTACTATTTACAGATTAAACAAAATTTGATTCTGGTGGCATTTTTCTTTAGGCTCCTATTAGCATGAAAGGCCTAATTCTTGCTACCAATTTACAATTTTGCTGGTATAACAACTGGGTTATAGCATTTGTAAAACAAGAAATAGTTTAGGTACATATAGCTATTCAAATTTGAATCAGAGACTTCTTTAACTTCATTTCGTTGCTAATGGTTCCCTGTATAGTATTGGATATGCTCTTGGAGGAAATTACCAGCCAGAGCCTCTAGTTGCCCCGTTCTAAGAAAAGTGAGGTCATGAAAGTAACCAGCTATAAGTATTCCGGCATGTCAACATTACCATTGTCACTGTGGTTGGTCCCAATGAAAGCTAATGGTATTTTAAACTCAGTATACATGTACATGTGGTACAAAAGGTTGATCTGGCTAGCCTGCCAAAGTAACTACACTGCTGTCTCTCATTACTCTTTTTCTTGGGTCATATTACAATCTTTGCAAAATTCCGTAACAAATCATGACAGCAAAAGCAGGGTTACCCTAAATTTGTTTTGTTTTTGTTCAAGCAGGTCAGTTGCAATTGCTGTAATCCAGGTACAAATGTACTGTGAAGTGGTGCTAGCAGAACTCAAATGCCTGCAGTTAAGCAAACAGATTTAAAAGAAACATTTGTGCATTAATTGGCCTTTTTAACCTGCTGACAGGTACATTACGCAAACAATAGCCAAAAGGATTCTAATGAAAAATTTATCACATCAACAATTTGATCTACCTGCCACCAGAATTTCTCAGGAAAAATCAACACCATCAGGATTTGTACTGTTTTCACAGACTATCTTTTCTAAGAACAGTGTCATAAACAGGGTGATTAAAAGGATTACTGTATTTGCAGAGCTACATGTACATGTAAGTATGATGGACCAGTCATAAATAATCTGGAATTTCTTTAAGAGCCTTGGATTATTATATTTCCTTATCACAAAGCAAATTCAGGAGCAT